ATATATATATATATGTATGTCTTCTATTTAATTAAGTAAAGTAGTAATCTACTATGAGTTTCATTTAATTAATTCCAAACATTTTAACGGTAAAAGTATCCTCTTAAGGATAAAACCAGATACGTAGGATATTCTCTGATTATCATTACTTAAATTCGCCAAGGGCAAATAAATTAATTTGTTAATTTGTTTGAGATAATTACCCACAAAAAACTATGGCAAATGAGAGTCAGAAATGTTTATTTTATAATGTATTCCGATTGAAATAAATAAACAGAATATCCAATCTCCCAAAAAAGAAATTTTTTTAGATTTAAAGCAATCTGGGAAATCACTGTATTTATTATAGAAGCTATGACATGTGCTGCGTGTTATATTTCGCGAAGTTTCTCAGCAGGGCATACTGAGAATTCTAAATAAACAATGCTGGTTACAAAAAAGAGATTTATATTCGCAAGGATAAGAGTTTAGATAGTGTTTTTAATTAGTTTTTTTCGTCATTGGAAATGTTTTTTGAATTCTTCGCATGCTACAAAATATTTCTTTTAGGTTATAGTTATTAAATTATATTTGCTGTAAGATATCAAAACATTTATTGAAAAGTTTAACATATATCTCAAATATATTTTTCATGAATTGCAAGAAGCACGTTTTATCAACATAAAAATAATAATTGATTGTGAAAAGATCAAAAAGTTGGTTTAGATAATGTATGAAGCTGCAACTTTCTTAATACAAACACTAATGATTTCAAGTAGCTCACATTTTTGACAAAAAAAGAATACAATCACTACTCGTCTCTAGAAAGATTCTTACTTTCACTATGCTAATAAATAAGGAATCGCATTTGCATAAACTCCTTCTTCATTCAAACATTAAGAAGAGAATTTTAATATTTTTTTATTTCTTTTTTGAAATGTGTCCCCTTAATATAGTTTCGGAGTTTGAATTTTAATATTTCACAAATTTTTAAAGTTTTGATAAAAGGTTTGGAAATCTTGATAAAACTTGATTTAAACTTGATTTAACTTGATTAAACTTGATTTGAACTTGAAGTAAAAAAAAAACATTGTTTTGGTCAATCTATGCCTTACTGTAATGTAACTATAGAGTTGAAATATGATGTGCTTAAAATACAGTTTACAATTATAAACTAAAAAATATTGTTTTCGTTCTTTTGAAATTCGAATTTGTTTGAATGTTATTGCACTTAACATTTTGTATTTTTTTTTAAATATTATCATAGCTCTGCTCTCTTACAAAGTTAATGAAAACTCATTTTAAAATAATTGAACAGAAGTCAATTATTTATATGAATTTCAATTTCGTCCCTGTTAAGAAAATTAAGCCTGTTCTTAACTAATCAAAGAAGATGCTTACTGTAAAGGGTAAAAATTCAAAATACTTCCAAAGCTTTCAAATCGTTGTCTTTGTACTCAATTGAGATTTATGCAGCATGACACTCAGAATGATGCATATCTCAAAACTTTTTTCAAGCTTTATTTGCGTCAACCAATAATGTGTATTTAATTCTGCATAAAAGTGAGTTTTCTGAATTTGACTATTACTGGTAGATTCGCATACTACTCCTAACTTGTGCCAACTATAGTACTGACATAAATTTTCCCTAGTGATATAACATATAGGGCTAATAATACATAGTTAAGAATTCCCTAGCTAATTGACTAGCGGTTTTTCGGGAACGGCGGTCAGTGTTTTCCTTTCCATGTAAAATGAAACAGCGACTTATGATAGACAAGATACTAAGTCTATTGTAAATCCCTGGTGATGGGACATTATAAGACTGTTTGTGGCTTTCTGAGTGAGACTCTCAATAAATAAAAAAAGGGGGAAATTCCGTTCCCTCTTCTGTTTGCTGCTCTCACTTGCATTTTATTGATATATCTGTTGCTATTGCAATTACGTAAGGCAGATCTTGATTTTTTACACTCGTATTTGTAGTATTGATGTAGTGGTATAAGATCATGAATATGGTAAAAGACCATGGTAGTGAAGAAAAAACTCTTGATGCAACTAATCATATCCGGCATGTTGCCAGAATATTCTATATTGTCATGTAGATTATTTTAAATCAATGTCACAGCCATGTCACTCATTCGGGTGCGGATGTACCGGACCTGGGTTTTTCTAGCGGGACCTAACACATGCTAGAAGAAAAATTCCGAATGCCTTTATTGGGACCGGACAGACGAATAAATGTTTTCTCTATGCGAGCTCATAAAAGTTAGTTTGTTCCGATGCTTTACCCAGCTGTCTATACGGGTTATGTCTATTTGGGTTAAAATTTACAGAATACGAAGAAGAAAATTTACAACCGCAAATAGTGTTAAACTTTTATAGCCATTAAAAATTCATATCTGTTAAATATACTATTTAACTATTTTATTGAATCAAAAATTGTTAACTGTTATAGCGAATCAAACATTATTGCACAGTAAAACATTTAAAAATTATAGTTCCTTTTCTTTTCGGGAAGAAAGGACTAAAATATTTCCAAAGCGCTAAAGAACGAAAATGCGGATAAAAAGAATTTGAAAGCAAAACTAATTATTTGTAATTTTTAACTAAAATATGAGGAATGGGGAAATATTATATTACTATATCTTAACACATGTTTTCCTGAAGTACTTACAAATTACAATTTTGTAAAATGATATATACTATATTTTTATGATATAAGCAAAGTATTTTGTAATTAGTAAACTAATGTGTTTCTTACAGCAATTTCTATCCCTGAAGTGGATATCAGTCACCCTGTGTTTGCCGAGCCAATACCAAATATCACTGTAACGGCAGGAAGAAACGTGAGCTTACCATGTGTCGTAGACAATCTCCAAAATTATAGGGTAATACATTTATATAATCTTAGTTACTTTGTATATAGTGCAAAAAGCTGTGTCATATGTCCATGTAAAATATTTTAACAGTTTACTCAAGAATTGCTTATTATGCATGATAGAAAAAAATATTGGTAGCTACCAAAATTATTTGAAATTTTACCATTTTAGCAAATTAAAATACACTGTAAAAATACATGTTGCTTTTTGGGAATTTGTCCGTTTAATTAACTGTTCAATACCGTTTCGTAGACAAAATGGTTTTTCTCCGTTTTTCACAATAATTACAAACGGTTTTAAGCAGTGAAATTCCATCATTCGCATATATCTTTCTTCCAAATATTTTAGGAACATTTTCTATACTTGATCTTAATTTTTTAGCAATTATTTCATGATTTAAACATCGTATAAAGAAAACTTCCTGCGATTCGACTTCATTCTCAAATTATTAGTATATTGAATTGAAATTTTCACTACCTCAATTTCTTCATTTCCTCACTTGAGTTCAGGAACAAAAGGCTTGCGTCCCGATAAAGTAGTCCAGGTTTGAATTCCAGCGATAACTAGTCAATACAAATTATACTGACATAAAATATTTGCTTAGTAATTTTCTCAGAGAAAACTTGTTCCCATATAGTGAAACTCTGTGGAGACAACAAAAGTATTTTTAGTTCAAAAATGCGCCTTGTTACGGTAAAAAATCAGCCTGATTACGGATTTCCTTTTACGGATAAAACTTGTTCTAGCATAATAAAAGTATGTTAAGGCTACGAAGTAGCTTTATAAAGTTTACGGTTCTGCACAACTAACCCAGCTGCCGGTTTAAAATTGTAAAATTAGCGGGATTTCTTTTACAGTGCATGGTATTCAACGAATATAATTAAAAATATACATATTCGTTTAATACATCAATTTTTTTAATTCCGATCTAATAGTTAATTAAACATAATAACTAATTAGGATCGTATAGAGCAAATAAGTCAATCTTATTAAGATAGGAGGGATTCATAGTTTTCTGGATTAATTAATTTTGGTAAAAATTTTACCAGACACTATTAAATAGACCACTTTCTTTTAGCATGAAATTGTACGCAATTAAATTTTATCGATATATTTTTAGCTAATAAGAATGTGCAATAGACAAGGCAAGGTATTATGAGGAATATTTCCATTTTCTTTCGCAATCAAAACAACAAAAGTGTGAATATCATTATACACATAAAAATGTATGGATTGGTCTTGAAATTAAATATATTCATACAATATTTTCTCTAACTATTACATACAATTCGCTCCATATAAAGTACACTCCATACACTCGTATATATATATATATATCTTTCTTGCTAGTGAAATTGCAAAGTCTTTGTAATTTAACTTGCAAGAAATAATAACAGTTTTATCAATCAAATATAAATAGCACAAGTACATAGTGCACTAAGTTAGAAAGTTAGTTATCGAAAAATAAAAATACACGAAAGATAGAAGTTAATAATAATTAATTAATTATTAATAATAAAAAAATAATCGCAGTGATAGGGTATAAGTATTTCCTCTCATGCATTCATGTTTAAGTTCACTTTTAAGGATAGATGACGATGTTCATAGCAAATCTATATGTCAAATAAATATAGCTGAACATCATATTCCATTTCCACTGATTGCCGCTGATGGTGAATATTTTAATAATAATAATAATATAGCAATACCTTCATTCATTAAAACATTTCAAAAATTGTAACGTGATTTTCCTTTTATTTATTAATTTATTTTTCTTCTATTATCCACATTACCATCAGTTGAAAAGTGTTGAGCTAAATAAAAAACTCAGGAAAATGTATGACCCTGTCCCATGAACTTATTGCAGAATATAATTCATTTTGTTTATCCTTAATTACTTTATGTCTCAAAATGTTTAGGATATCTTGTCCAATTTAAGACATTTAAATAAGTGTATAATGTTCTAATATCATAATATGAAATATGACGTAAAAAATAGCAGACTTAACTTTCAATGCTACATTCTATTTTTTATTGTTTAAACATGTTCATTTTCATAAAAAAAATATTTATTGTACTTCATATTTTTAGGTTGCTTGGATACATACAAATAAATATACTCTTCTGACGTTACAAAACAGAGTCATTACAAGAAGCTCCCGATTCAAAGTAAGCAACAACAGTCTCAGAACATGGTTTCTACATATTTATAACGTACAAGAACGGGATAGAGGAGAGTATATGTGCCAAATCAACACTATTCCAATGATGACGCAAGTTGGATATTTAAAAGTAAATGGTAAGCTACTAGATCATCTCGAAACCATAAAAATTTTTAGCGGAATACAAAATACAGCTGTTCAACCAGTAGAAATGTGAAAATATATTATGAAAACTTAAAAATGGATCAAAATTCTTTTTCAACTTTGAAGGTTCAGATCCAAATATTCGGAAAATTTTTAAGAAACACTTTTTTTCTGTTATTTTGTCTCATGTATTCCACAAATATTGTTGTTTTTAACAAACATTATTTTAACTATTTATTTACTGTTGGTACAACTAATAATCCGAAACAACTGGTACTATCAGGTGCCGCTGGTGAAATGGTAAGATTGCATAAGTTTCATACTATTTGATTCTTTTGTTTTCTTCTTTGATTACGAAAATACTTGATAAATTATTCTTTGTAGAGTGTTATTTGCTGAAAAAAAAACTTTAAGTGGTGAAAAATCATATGATTTCAGTTCCACCATATCTTGATGAAAAACATACAAGTTCAGACACAGATGTGAAAGAAGGGAGTGACATTAGTTTACGGTGTTTAGCAAAAGGTTTCCCGGAACCGGAGAACACGTGGAGGCGAGAAGATGGTCAAGAAATATCATTAGGAAAAAACAAAGGTAATAAAATTTTGAAAACTTAAAAAAATGATAATTTGAAAATAAGTTGTAACGTATATCCTTACTTAAGGTTTTCATTTTGTATTTTGAGTTAAATGCTAAGCAATAGAATATTCTAAGATTTTATCACAATTATTTTTTATATAAAACTTAGCTTATTATTTAATACATGCTTAACTAAATTTACTTGTCTACCTTCATTAAAAACACGCTAAGAAATCACTTGAGAAATAATCACTATGTCAAATTTTAAGAAATAAACACAATAATAATTACTCAGCTTGACTTGCAGGCACAGAAAGCTTCAGAATATCTTTGTAATGTCCTTTGAAGCTTTGATTCAAGCTTATACAACTATCGTAAAATTTTAAACTTTTAAGCACTTATGCTAGAGGATACACGAGGCTTCGAGCTTGAGTACAAAGGGAAAGCCAGTGGCAACATTGAATCGTCCAAGAAGCAGGTCACTAAGAGGCAAAATTTGATTCCGGTAAAACTTGGTAATTCTAATAATCTCTGACGTTAGGTAGTAAATATTTGGAACGGCATAAGAAGAATAAAAAGATGATACGATGTCAAAAATTAAGTAACACGTGTCCCTCTTTCTTCTATGGTGTCTGTTCACTGTTACCCTTCAAGTACCACCTGCATTCTAATGGTTTTCAGAGCCTTCAAAAATACTTTGTGAAGTCGGTAGACATGGTTTCGAAAGCAATCATCACATTTTTATCTAAAATTACTTCTCCCAAAAACTTAAAAGCTAAACACAAATTTTAATGACAATCCATTGCGCGTTGTATGATTGTCAGGCATCAGATATACATTTTATATCCGAACTGCTCTTATTTTCAAGATGTTCGAAAATAACTGAGCAAGCAAGCATATGTAAGGTGATCAGCTTATTTACTGATTATAAACCAGCCATATAATGATTTAAATACGTATTATCTATACAACAAATGAATATATTTGACATTTGGGCATGCCATGCTTTGTTCCTATCACAGTTAGAAGTATGTAATTTAAATATTCACCCGCGTAGTGTTCAGAGAGCGTATACTTTTACCTCTACGATAGTTCTATTGTGCAAAACATTATATATTCCTTTACAACATTAAATTTGCATTTTAACATTGCATACTCCTTTACAGTCACAATGGGACAGTTTATGTGATGCTACAGTCCTTCAAATTGCAAATAATAATATCACATTTGTTCCTGCTATTTATTTGCCATGCATGTAGTAGGAATATGCAAAACCTTTACAACCTTACGATTTGATAATGCTCTAAATCCATATATTTAATTTCTGTTCAATTATCTAAAAAAAAAAATCAAAAGTAGCTAAGTGAAATGAATTTTTCAGCTGAAAAACAACCCAATTGTCAAATTGGGAATCAAGAACTTCAATATGAAATAACTTCTCTTATATGACTGGCTGATATGAAAAATTGTATAAGGAAATTATAGTCAACTCTCCCTTACAATGAAAACTCCCTCCCCCCAGGATAAAATAAAAATAGTATAAATATCCCTAATACTACAAGCAATTATCTATACTTAAATTACAATTAATTGAAAACCAAAATTCCTTGCACTTGTAATTTTAAGATTTTTGGTTCGTAATGCATTGGAATTAATTTATTGCAGGTTTAAAATTTCACTACCAACTTGAAACAGTATGTACTTCTTTTTTTAGTTTATGTGCGTTATGAAATCACGATAACATTTGTTAAGATTTGTTGACAGAATTTTTTAAAAAAGATTAGTATATATATATATA